TATATATATATATATATATTTATTATGTATCAGTCAGTCAGTTTTTCTGTGGTTAAATGAAGAGGTTTAAACTGTGATTAGATCAGCTGGTTTAAACAGTAACTCTAGATTAACCTGTTTCTATTGTCAAGTCTGAAGAAGAGTTTGATAAAGTTCACTCCAGCTTGTTCTAGGCTGCTTTTATTGTGAAACTCTTGAAACAGGAAACTGTTCCTGTTTAAATCTAAGCTTCCTGTTTCTTTGACCAATGACTGCTGATTTCTTCTCTTGTTATTGAGCTGTTGCTTACAGGATCTTAGTTCTGCAGAATGGACTCAATCATGCAGATGTAAAGTCAAAATCAAATCCTCTTCCATCTTTCTAGTTATTTCCAGAAACATCCTCACAGATCCCTCTGTCTCCCAGCCGACAGCAGACGACACCGATGTTCCAGCTGTATGGTCCGACTCCTTGTCACCGCCCTTTGAACTCGACCAATCAGGACCTCCAGAAGCTGTCGCCATCCTCCAAGAGCCAATAGAACCCCCTGAAAGTACCGGCTCTGATGGGAGCCGATCAGTGAACGACTCGGCTCTGGTCTCCGGACCAGCTGAGCCGCTGGTTCTGGGTCTGAGGTCAGCGGGGGGGAAAGGAAGTGATGTCACCAAACCTGCACATGCTGACGAGATGTAGATGGATGTTTTCAACACCACAAAGGATTTCATGTTCGATGTCGAGCTCAAAGTCAAAACCAGCAATGGACACTCTGAATAATTTGTCTGAAATTAATTCATTGATTGGTGGTTAACCGTTTATTCTACTTTTAGCTTCAATGAATAGTTGGATATTTTGACAAAATTTGCTAATTTGCTTTTTTGTTAAGAGTTAGTTGGGAAATTAAAAACAACAGTGAATAAGAAGCTGAAGCCAGTTGATCGGCACAGAGACTAGAAACCGGTAAAAACCTCCACCCAGTAAAGCTCACTGTTAACACGTTGTTTGGTGGTGACTTTAAAAATGACCAGTGGTGTTTTTTAACAAGGCTCAAAGTGTCAGCCTTTTTCCAGCCTTTGTGCTAAGCTATGCTAACTGTTCAGAAATACCTCTGAAGGTGTAACTTCACCCTTTAGCCAGTTTATTTTAGAGTTTATACTCAAACTCCAAAACGAAAATTCTTGTTTTTTTCAGCCGGGCTTTTATTTGCTAACTTTGCACTTCTTCCATCTTAGCGATTTGGGAAACATGGTGATGGAAATGTATATCTGTGTTATTAAATTAAAGTGTTACAGAAATGAATTCAGAAGCTTGTCTCTTAATCTACTTGACAGTAAACAGGATTAGTTATTGTAGGGTATGGATCTAATAACAATATGTTGATTACGTATGTTTGTATAAGTCACTTCAGATCTATTTTATAAATGTTAAAAGTAATATCTGCACTGCTGTTGTCATGGTAACACAAAGTGCACAATGCCTCATTTAATGTTGTTATTCTGACATTTTCTGTTTTCTGTTGACTGTTAAATTGCTTCAACTGTAAATGGTGACAATTCTCTTCCACTGATGCAACAATACATTTGATTATCTGATCTGCATGTTACTCAGTAATGAAACAATCCATACAATAGACATTAGACGTTTTAAGTGAAGTACTTTAGTGAAAATACTGATGGTATGACATACTGAGATAAAGTGTGTCACAGAAATCATTTTTAATTTGAGGTCCAGTCATTTTGTGATCAGACATCTGACAAATATTATTATGTTAGGGTTAGGTTAGTTAGGTTAATCAGGCCTGCATAGGTGTGTTTTGGGTGGAAACTAGTTTTGTAGAGCAGAGCGTGGGTGTCTGTCTCTTTAAAGAACACTTTGATCGCTAGTGTGTGGGTCTCCTGGAACCTGTAATTCTTAAAAGTGGTGGTGTCCAGGAAATCCACAGAGGTCAAACTGCTGGTGGATTTTAGCTTGATTGATTCACTGTGATTATTCAGCGTGTTCAGAAATGTGTCAAAGTACAAGACTGGTTAGGGGTTAGGGGTTAGGGTTAGGTTTGGTAAGGAGCGTGGCCCTGGCACAAGGGGGCTGTCCTTTAAGAAGGCTTTAATAAAAACCCTGAAATAAAAGACAATTAAGACAATTTT